GAAATGAAGCCTTAAAATTTTGACTGCAATTTCACAAAATTGAAAATATTTCAAAAACGGTAAGGTTTAAGTGTAATAAACCTTTATCAAATTTACCTTTATTTTAATCGTAAAAACTAAAAATCTAATAATATACAGGGTGTTACATTTAAAAAAATACAACTTTGATATTTTTTATTTAGTTGGGACACTCTGTATCTTGTAAAAATATTTTTAAATTGTAGCTCTAATAGTCCTTCAACGAACCCAAAACTTACAATTTGTAAAAATCTAATCGTTTAGCTACAATACTCCGTGTCGTATGTGGTGAACAACCCCTATATACAATTCTAATAAAAAGTTATAATAATTATTTATTAACACAAACATCCGATACGCTACTGAAGCAGTCGCTGTTAACGATTTTCTCGGTGAAAAGATTATTATATTTCTCTACAAGATGGAATAGGTACCAACAAATCCTTCACGTATACGACCACCTTTAGCAGCGATTTAGGAAGTACAAAAGACCCAAAAATAGCAAATTGAATTAAGAGAAAAATGACGCGTTAGATCATTGTTAATTGTCCTATTGTTAATTAATGATTTATTCGTTTAGCATCAAACGGTGGCGCTGCGATCGCGTGGGCGCCACCTGACAACATCGAGCCGGCCGTTAAGTCAATAAATAATCGATTGACCGAAAAAAGAAACTACACGGGTAATTAATTTGTTGTTAAAGTGCGTTTTATTATTGGATTTGGTCATTCGGAATTCATCAGGATGATTGTTCACGTAGACGCTTATGTCATTTTATTAAAAATCAATAAACAATAATTTGAAATATTGATGGTTTTGTGCTTTAGGATCAGTCAGACAATAGGACAATAAAATATTCATACTAATAATGCATTTAAATCAAGTCTATACAGGATGTTCGAAAAATGCAAGGCCAAATTGTAGAGGGTAATGCCTGATCAATGGAAAAAAGTTTAGAAGAATGAGGAAGATGCATATATTTTATTTTTCGCCAGAAACTGTTCAATTTATTAGAATAAATATGTATAAATGCAAAAAAAAAATTCTTAAAAGCAGTACCACAATTTTATAAAACGGGCCATTAAAATACTATGGATAACGCAAATGACGCCTCGCGAATTGAAACGGTATTCTATTGGTCTGACGTCACCCGCCGTTCTCGTCGACGCGCGATGGCCAGCAGCAGCCAGACGTGTTCCGTTTATGTACGTATTTAGGTGGCGTACTAAGACATTTTTGTTGCTTTTAGCGTTGATTGAAGGAGCTTTTTATGCTTTTTTGTGCAGTTATTATTTGTATGTGTTGTGTGTTCTGACAATTTTTTAAGTAATGGTAGATTCCGAGTTTGTAAAAGCACAATCAGATAAATTGCCAAAAGTCGATGCTTTTATGTTGGCTGCTTTTATAAATACAAATTCCCAATTTGTTGGTGCTGAATTACTAGGAAAAAAACAGAAAGGTATGTAACATTTATTCTTTGTAGTACTGAGGCATATTTAAGTATAAGTAGGTACCTACTGTTACGAACTTTTATATAGTTATAAATATTAATGTTATAAACTTATCTTTCAGATCAGGTAGGGAGACGTATGGAGATAATGCTGTAGGTTATGTAGAAGTGAAAAGAGACAAAAATATTTGTTTAGTACGTGGAAAAATAACTCCAAAGCATAGCGTGAAAAAGACAGTTTTTTTTATATATTGACACCCCCTAACCCTTGTTAAATAAACACGCGTCTGGCTCCACTCAACCAGAAGAACGGCGGGTGACGTCACAGCGGCAAGGCGCGGTAGAGAGCGTTTGCCCGGTCATCTAAATTAACAATATATAATTATTTTATATTAGAGGCATTTCTTAACCGATTTCAACGATTTTTTTTGTTCAATTTGTAATTATATGAACTATTTTTTAAAACCATTATTTAAAAACATGCATTTTCCTCATTAAGTTAGCTTGGAGTATATATGGAAGAAACTCGAAAGTTTTGAAAAATTTTATTAAAATTTATAGCACTGATGTACAGTGCTACCTACAGAAAATTCCCCCCAAAAATAATGGTATTTATTAAGATAATTACAAAGGCCTATTTTTTAGTTTTTAATAATTTTAAGTTTTAACATCCAGTAACTTTAAAACTACGCATTTCCGCAGCCATGTTTATGGGAACTTTTTTCACATTTTTTGATGAAAAACCACCTCTTGATATACAGGGTGTCTCAGAAATAAATGCAAGTATTTTAACTGGTAGTATAGTTCAACCCCAGAAACGCGCCTATGAGGATTTTTTGGCGAAAAAAAAAATTGAAAATTCGAAATTTTTTGATTTGATGATTTTTTTTTAGTTTTTAGTTAAAAATTAAAATTTCATGATAATATGGCAACATAGGTATTAGATTAAATTTACAAGAAGAAAAATCCAGAAAAGATCCAGTGGTTCTCAAAATTTTAACAAAAAAACTTTTTTTTTTGGAAATTTTCAAAGTCAAATAACTCCGTTATTTTGGACTTATACGAAAAACGATAAAGATAACATATGTTTCTTTTATTGAGATCTACCACCCCTTAAAATACTTGCACTTATTTCTGGGACACCCTGTATAGCCGTGCATTTTTCGAAACTAACCCCCGTATAGTTTTATAAATCGTTTTAAAGATAAATCGATTGAGAAGAACGCAAAATTTTCTTTATAATATAAACAACTCATTAAGAATTACTGTAATTTGTGAATAAAATACCAATTTCTACAGTGTCAAAACTAAATAATCGCCTTGACTAGTGACTTCCTTACTCTCTTTGTAATTGGAATTATGAACTCATTAAAATTACTTTTAGTTGACTATACTATAATGGAAATCCGTATTAGGAATCGAATATCAATTAAAATTTACCGGTTTAACTGGCTAGTTAATTAATAAAAAACTGTAATAACAGTTTTCGATCATCTTGAAATAAAGAGAGACGACTAAAATATATATTTGCCTTAGTAAAACGCTAATAATATGTGAAAAAAGTAGTTTTATAAATAATGTAACAAGATATTTACAGTTTTTTAGTACAATTAATTAAAGATTAGTACTTTTATAGAGATTTATCTCTAATTAAATAATAAAATTAGTTTAATTCATATTTAGTCAAGTAATCTTGTTCAGTGGGTAAAGCGGGGTTTCCACATGCAAGGATTACTGGCGCCAGTTTTATTGTATGTGGAAACCTGTAAAATCGACTGGCGCAAGTTTAGTGGTGCCACTAATTCATGTGCCAGTAAAGTTCAACGCTTCTGTACTTTTTGGCGATAGTTTTGTCTGTAAACAATACAGCGAGCACGCTCCAGTCGTAAAAATGTGTTTGTTTAAAAAAAAGTCTCACAGCCTTAAGGAGAATTGTTGGTGTCATATCTGATTCTCTCAGCAACTTTGATGTAAATTCCGCAAAGGCCAAAATTCGAAGTATTAGGAATGCTTACACCCTAGAGCATAAAAAGGTGTTAAAATCTTTTAAAACTGAACGTAATGACATGACACTTTTAAATTTACTATAGACCTGTCGAAACGGGTAATGGCGCCATTTTATTGGCGCCAATAAACTGGCGCACACTGGCGCCAGTAATCCTTGCATGTGGAAACCCCGCTCAAGACTTTTCGTGTCAGTGATTGGCACAAGGTCACATTATCATGCCAGTGCTGGCGTACCAGGTAAACTGGCGCCAGCCACTGGATAAGTTGTAAATCAGCCTTTATTTTATTTAGTTATTTATTCTATAGCACTGAACAGCATCCGCCAACTACAGCGTGAGTAATACAATATAAAAAATACAACATAACATATATAAAATTACACACTAAAAAATAAAAAGAGAATAAGAAAAAGGGTTTGAACAAAGATAACAATAAATCCAACACTGAGGTACAACTCATTAACTAATTAACTCATTAAACTGAGCTCAGCACAACAGAAACCAAAATGCAGTTGAAAATATCAAATTTATTTTGATATAAATTATACGAATCTTGTAAACTTTTTAACGGCGAATATTTATACCGGGTGTTTCGTTTTTTTTATAAGTGGCTCACCCCTATAACGTTATTATATTTTCAGATAAAAAAACGAGATTTGGTACTTTAGTATATGACATAAATTAGGACTGATTGACGTGTTCAATTCTTTTTGGTCATTTCCTGTTTCACCGGAAGTGACTACAACTTTTGATTTTTAAATGGCACCCTCGGTATATTTTATTCGTTAGAAAATGACACTCTAAATAGAATGACATATCATATGTCAACTTTTGAAATTTTCGCTTAAAAACAAATCGTATTTTAAATTACACTCTAGAGTGCCATGGCTGTGTTAAAAACACTAAGTTTTAATCAAGGAGCCTTGGAAAAATAATTTTGATCGTCTAATGTTCTGTCTTGTTCTGGCCGGTTAAAAGATGCTCAAATCGTATTTTTAATCATATCTCATTTTTTTCAAATGGAACAAAGGTGGCTCATTAGCAAATTTGGAAAAAGCATTTTTTTACGAATAATTTGGTACCACACACTCGTATTTCGAGTCAAATAGTCGTTATGAACTGCATGTTACAATTTCAAATAAGTTGAAACAATTGAATACGTCAATCAGTCCTGATTTATATCATATACTAACGTACCAAATCGTTTTTTATCTGGAAAAATAAATTTTAAAATTATAGGGGTGAGCCAATTTTGGAAAAATAAAATAAATAATCATAAAATGTAAAACTATGTCGAGAGCTGCGCGAGACCAAAAAAATTAATTTGTCTTCGAATATCTGGCAATAAAAAATCTACAGGACATCAGATATGGTAAGAAATTATTAAACAAAATTTTAACAAATGATTTTTTTTATCTCAATAAATGAATAGAACTATAGCGACACTATATTTTGCTATTCATTAATATAATGCAAAAATATTATGTATATTAATATGTAAAATCAATTACACAAATAAGACTTACCTTTGCGCTGCCAACAGAAGTATTGTCATAGGAAACTGAATCCCTGTAATGGGAATAAATAATATAAAAATTAAAAAAAAAACAAATATTTTAATTTTGTATTTTTACCTATAAAAATCTCCATTGGAAGTAGGTTTGGGCGATCCAGATCCATGATTTCCATTGAGATTTTTGGTGGATTTACTGAAACAACAAACATTTATGTAATTGAAATATACGGAACAATCAACAATGATTGCAATAGTTGGCAATACTCTTAAAGGATTTTAGGGTTTGTGATTGGTACTAATGTTGAAACAAATTACGTCAATTTTTTTTATGTTCTTGAAGTTTTGACTTTATTATTTGTAAAATAGACATATTTTTCAATACAACTTAGTGATTATCATGGAAAAGGAATATGTATTTAGCGTATGAGAGTACGGCTTATTTTTATCTCGGCGCGGCGCACAGTGGGGTATTTGACACAGATAGTTGATCGAAATTTTTTTATGCAGACCTTATATAAATTATTGCTATTTTCAATTAAAGAGGACATAATATGAACAAAATAAAGGATAATTCGTCGACTCTAAAAAAAGAAAGAAAAATCACTGTTCCAGTGTTTCCACGGTCAATGCCACTAATGCCAGTAGTAATATCGCAACTAATACTACTAATGCTATGACTGATCCGCGAGCATTGCCCATACCACTAAAGTCGCTACTAATGCCAAATTGTGCTATACTGCTAATGGCACTAATGCTATCGCTTTGTACACAACAATGCCATCGCGGTTTACACCTCGCATTAGTATATCACTGATTGGCAAATTAGAAGAAACCAAGAATGTTTTCTCATTTTATCAGCAAAGTCGCAAAAAGTCGCAGTATTTTATTTTACTGTATGAAAGCCCAATGTTTATTAAGTAAAACGTATATAGACAATATGCTGAATTCTTCGAAATGCGCAACTAAATGTCTAAGTATAATAAAAATGTCACAAATTTAATCAAATTTTCTGAACGCCTAACTTTTAGTTGCAAAAAGAATCGTTAGTATAGAGAATATCAAAATAAATAATACGTTTTTGTAGAATACATACCTGCAGCTTGCTGAGCCATTTTCAATCAAAACAATAATATAAACGTAAAAAGAGCACAAGAACAACAACAATTTATAATTTTAAACATAAAATTTAGCCATTTCCCTCTTATCGGTGAGAAGTAACAACTTTGACGTTTCGTTGAAACAAATGAATGCAACTAAACACACCCATAGCAATGCCATTCATGGCAGAGATGATTTAACTTATCATTTATCTTTTTTTTGGGAAATCTTAAACACATTTGCTTTTTCGAATTTCGATCACCTTTTTCATGCTAATACCCCACCGTGCGGCGTCCAAAACAAGGTTTGAAATTGAACGTAATCGGCGAACTAACTTTTAGTCAATACAGAATCGCAATTTTGCAATTTCGCAATTTTGCAATTTCGCAAATATCAGAAACGTATAGTTGGACGGTTTCAAAATATTGTGAACCAAGAAGTAACAAACGAAAATGGAAAAGTATAATATGTCCATGTGAAGGTACATTTAACCTTAAACTATAATTTTAATACACTACAAGACTATACGGCACATACAAGGCACATTATTAGCATTTTATTTAATACCAATTTTTTTGGAACTAGAAGATTTTGGTTAAATTTTAATAAGTAGGTATTACCAAAATGTTAATTGTTCATATTTTGTCAAATGCCACTGTTAGTGATAAAATCAATGTTTTTTTAATACAGACACCCTATAAATTAGAAATGTATTAGCACATCTTTTTCGGATTTCAAAAATATTATTACAAATTCCCTTCCTTTTTAACAGTTTCATCGAAATATTTCGACCAAGATGTTCTGTTTCACTCTGTGCTAATAGGTCTATATTTAATTTCTGTTTATGTATGACTCAAAATATATGTCGTATATCTAAAAGATTTTCGAGAGTTCGCTAAGTAGCTTATTGTTGGGAAATGACATTGTTAATTACTTAAACACACATATTACATTATTGTATGTTTCGCACTGGGCGGTCATGAATTATAATTTATTTTTAAGAAGCATCTGTAAGTCACAGGAAATTTAGTATAAAATTCTTTACCAGTCCATTTGAGAGCAAATCAATTCATATTCATATGTTAAGACAAAGTTTATGGTTACTTAATTCTCTGAAATAGATCAACCTCCCCCCCCCCCTATTGTGCTGCAAAAGCAATTACTAGAAAAAAAAACTAAAAACAAAGGAAAAAACTAAATTGTAACCGCCAAGGTAGAAAGAAAGGAAGACCACGCAAGAGCTGGAGAGAGAGTATTGACAAAGAAGTTTTATTTTGGACAGAGGTTTGGCACAGGATGGATGTGGAGATAGAGAGAGATGGACATTAGGAATCTGAAGAAGGAAAATGTAACCCGATTATTATATACAGGGTGGTCCGAGCTGTATTCCGGAAACTTCGGCAGCATATTCTGCAGATAAAAATAAATCAAAAAGTTCGTATAAATGTATGTCCATAAATGCTTAGTTTCGGAGATACCGTGTGTAGAAGTTCCATTTTTATTTCGATTTTTTCCAAATAATTCCTGAAGTAAAGTCAATATATGGATGAAAATTGGCGTATGAGAGTTTTTTGGCATGAGAAATTTGATTTTGATATCCATGACTTTCGAAAATCGACATCTATGAAAATATGAACCCTTCCTGGACACAAACGTTACATTGTGAGACAGAAAATTTTAGAGAGAAACAAACCCTATAACATAGGATACAACATCTTAATGAACAGTGCTTTCCATAAAATCAATAAAATGAAAAATATACGAAATAAAATAAATGTACTGATTTCTTTCGAAAATCGACAACTATGAAAATATGAACCCTTCCTGGACACAAACGGTACATTGTGAGACAGGAAATTGTAGAGAGAAACAAGCCCTATAACATAGGATACAACATTGTAATGAACAGTGCTTTCCAAAAAATCAATGAAATGAAAAATATACGAAATAATATACATGTTCTGATTTCTTTCGAAAATCGATATCTATGAAACTATGAACCCTTCCTGGATACAAACGGTACATTGTGAGATAGGAAATTGTAGAGAGAAACAAGCCCTATAACATAGGATACAACATTTTAATGAACAGTGCTTTCCATAAAATCAATGAAATGAAAAATATACGAAATAATATACATGTTCTGATTTCTTTCGAAAATCGACATCTATGAAACTATGAACCCTTCCTGGACACAAACGTTACATTGTGAGACAGGAAATTGTAGAGAGAAACAAGCGCTATAACATAGGATACAACATTTTAATGAACAGTGCTTTCCATAAAATCAATAAAATGAAAAATATACGAAATATAATAAATGCACCGATTTCTTTCGAAAATCGACATCTATGAAAATATGAACCCTACCTGGACACAAACGGTACATTGTGAGACAGGAAATTGTAGAGAGAAACAAGCCCTATAACATAGGATACAACATTTTAATGAACAGTGCTTTCAATAAAATCAATAAAATTAAAAATATACGAAATAAAATGAATGTACAGATTTCTTTCGAAAATCGACATCTATGAAAATATGAACCCTTCCTGGACACAAACGGTACATTGTGAGACAGAAAATTGTAGAGAGAGACAAGTCCTATAACATAGGATACAACATTTTAATGAACAGTGCTTTCCATAAAATCAATAAAATGAAAAATATACGAAATAATATACATGTTCTGATTTCTTTCGAAAATCGACATCTATGAAACTATGAACCCTTCCTGGACACAAACGGTACATTGTGAGACAGGAAATTGTAGAGAGAAACAAGCCCTATAATATAGGATACAGCATTTTAATGAACAGTGCTTTCCATAAAATCAATAAAATGAAAAATATACGAAATAAAATAATGTACTGATTTCTTTCGAAAATCGACAACTATGAAAATATGAACCCTTCCTGGACACAAACAGTACATTGTGAGACAGGAAATTGTAGAGAGAAACAAGCCCTATAACATAGGATACAACATTTTAATGAACAGTGCTTTCCATAAAATCAATAAAATGAAGTAAGAAATCATATTCAACCGAACATCATAAATCTAGCAACATAAATCTCTTTAAATGTGTTATGTTTTGGAGATGTATATTTTGTCCCATTTACCTTTGGTTTCCATGCACAGAACACCCTGTTTTATCTGTGTACCGTACCACCCTCGTGTGTCCGTGTTCCAACACCTTCTGAGTCACCGGCGGGTGTAAGTGTTTGTTGTAATACATCCTTCCACCCTTCCTTCTAATAAATCACAATTGGTTACCTATCTTCCTCCATGTTACTGCGTATAATTCCACAACAAAAACACTTAAAACCGAGTTTATAACCAAGTTTTCGCACTTAAAACACTCGAAAGAAATGCGGCAAGTACTAAACGGGTACTAAATTATTTAATAAAACGTTTTGCGTCGGGTAAAAGTGAAAAAAATCCCTATAGCGTTGCGGTTCAATTCTCCAAAGCATAAACATACTATTTATCACAATCTCTTTGAAAATTACTTAAGGCTGTAGTCTAGTCTAGATTTCAGAGAAATAAGTAAAACTAGATGCGTAACAGAATACTTCTTGGTTAAACATTTTTTTCTGTTTGCATTTTTATTGATGATTTTTTGTGAAAATTCTGTGCTTGGATGTTGTAAGCGTATCTTTTTATCAAAGTAAGAGAAAAAATATGTTCGGTGGAATGTATAAAATGTATAAAGTGCATGAAATGTGGAATTTTCAACAAAAATGAAAACAACCTTTTCACATATTAGAATTTTGGACTGTAGTCTGCAGTAGCGCCAGTTCGCTGGTATATCCTTTCTGAATCATATAGATAATAAATATGATCCAATATACATTTAATATTAAACACACTGTTTTGTTTATTTATATGTAGATAATAAATTTTAATATACAGGGTGGTCCGAACTGCATTCCGGAAATTTCGGCGCATATTCTGCAGATAAAAATAAGTAAAAAACTTTGTATAAATGTATGGTCAAAAACGCTTAGTTTCGGAGATACAGGGTGAAGAAGTTTCATTTTTATTTCGATTTTTTCCAAATAATATCTGAAGTAACGTCAGTATTTGGAAAAA